CGCAGGTTCGGGTTGGTGAAACTGATCGTCCCGATCATCTTGCGAGACAGTTGCGTAACACAATTCAGCTGACTCGACTACTGATTCTAGGAGCAGCTCTATGGCTGGTGATTCTTACGGTGCTCTATTTTGTCTAAGAGCTTCAAAACTCATTCCGTACGAGCTAGTGCGGCACAACTTCCTAGCCATTTGGCAATTCGATTCACGGATTTGAAATGAGATTGTGGCGGCTGGAAAGGATAGTCAGAAGTTTAGCAGAGATGAATGATCACATCACTGTTAGTGCAGCTCAAGCGGACAAGAATATCAGTGACAATTCCAGATCTAGTAAGAGAAAATCCAGTCTGGTGTTTAAAGAAACCTCTAAAAATGGAGCCCTCACTCAAATTCCTGAATCTTCTTTTCGAGGAATGACAAGAAACCAACAAGATCCGGTAGATGAGGACATGGATAATTTGATAGAAGAAATTAATGTGAGCTCTCAACGCAAGACACGAAAACTCACCTATCATCGCTGCGATCATTGTGGGGCCATGGTCCTGAATCCCATAAGTGTTGGGTTCTTGAACAAAAGGTGACGTGTTTCAAGTGCGGACAACCCAATCATGTGGCTATGGTCTGTAAAAATCAACAAGTGGAATGTCCGTTAAATTTAGAGGAGCATCGAAGGTCGATTTTGTTCTGAAAGAAATCGAACGTTTAGTGAAGATTAAAGATCTTCTGGTGAAGAATATGAACGATTCAGCTACCGAGCCATCGTTTCGAACCCGTCGAGTTGATCCCACAGAAGGCGAACATAGTGATACCACTGTTGGAACTTTACCTGCCAGAGCAATCGATACTCCTTTTGCGGAAACGCCGGCGTCGAGCACCAATTAACGACGACGTCGGCATCTTATACTCTACCGGTTACGGTTAATGACTTAAAGACCTCCGCCCTGATTGATACTGGGGCAGAAGTTAACATCATCACTCCAACTTTGAAACCAACAAAGACTTGCGGCGCTAAAATGAAGATAACTTTAGCAAACGGCGATAAAGTGGAACAGAGGGAATGGGGACGACTGACAATGAAGTTACAAGGAAAGGTTCATCATGATTTAGTGGGTGTAGTATTGCCTGAGTCTAAACAACTCATCCTCGGAGTTCCTTACTTGTTAGATCATCATGCAAAACTATACCTGGGGGAGGGTTGGATTCAGCTAGACGATGAATGGTTCCAACTTCGTAAAACTTAATCGACCATTGAAGGCATTCCGATCAGCTTGTAGATGTCGAAAATACTCAGAAGAACAGAAGAAGATCATTGAGACAGAAGTGAAGTCGATGCTAGAGAAAGGGGTTGTACGCCCTAGTGAGAGTCCGTATGCCTCTGGCATTGTAGAAGACTGGAGAGTGGCGGTTCTGTATTGATTACAGACCACTCAATAAAATAACTTTGAAGGATGAATTTCCTCTTCCGAGGATAGACGACCTATTACGAACAGTCAGGGGATCTAAGTGGTTTATTGCACTGGATATGAGAGCCGGTTACTGGCAAGTAGCCACGGAGACCAAAGATATCCCGAAGACAGCATTCAAAACACCCAATGGATTGTTCGAGTTTACAGTTATGCCGTTTGGACTCGTTAACGCGCCAGCGACTTTTCAGAGAATGGTTGAGCAGTTATTCGGGGATCTCTGTTGGGACGGGGTCTTGGTTTATTTAGATGACATATTTATACATGCACCAGAGTTGGAGAGGGTTCTGCAACTTCTAACTATCGTCCTATCACGACTTCAACGGGCTGGTTTACGGTTGAGGCTCTCTAAGTGTTCATTTCTTCCGACTCAGATTGAATACCTAGGCCATGTGATTCAAGAAGGCAAATTGGCTCCACAACCGAAGAAGATTGAGGCATTTAAGGTTTTGACCTCTCCAGTAGACACGACCACTCTCCGCCAAGCTTTAGGGATGTTCGGTTACTATCGGAGTTTCATCCCTAACTATGCTGCACTAACGATCCCACTCACAAGACTGATGAAAGGCAAAGCGGAATTTGTATGGGGAACAGAACAAGAAACAGCATTTTTACAGCTCAAGGATAAACTCGGAAAGGCTGTTTTATCAAATGAATGGCAGGAGGGCGAGATCATTGTAGAGACCGATGCTAGCGACTACGCCGTCGCTGGAGTTCTCTCTTTCGACAAGGAGGGAATGATTGTCCCTGTGGAGTTTATGAGTAAGACGCTATCAGAAGTAGAGCAGCGGTGGCCCACAAGAGAGAAGGAAGCTTTCGCGATTGTCGTAGCACTAAGGAAGTTTGATACTATTTTTACGTGGAAGAAGAGTTACAGTGTT